GCAGTGGTGTACGTCGTCCCGTGTCACGCCGCCGGAAATTGATCAAATGAGCTCAAATTTTTTTACAAACTTATTAAAAGTATTATAAATACATGTGAAAAAGATTCAAGTTGATATGTTCTTTACTTTCCCTACAAAAAATTCATCAAAAATGCCTGTTTTTTGACCCAACAAACGAGACCGGACCCTTAAATATTTGACTTCATTCATTCTAAATTGCATTTTATTAGGATTGAACTTAATTCCTAATTTTCTTGCTCTCTCTCTAATACTTTATCTAGAATTGAATCATGAATATCTTTTGTTTCCACGAAAATATCATCAATATATACTATTACGCCCTCAATATCGCCAAAATTTTTATTGTTAATTTTTTGAAATAATTCCGGGACTAAACTGAGACCAAACGGTAGTCTTTTAAAGTTATAGCTACCAAACGGTGAACCGAAAATGCAAAGTTTGCTTGAATTTTTATCTAGTTCCACATGATAGAATCCATCCTTAAGATCAAGAACAGTGAACCATTTTTTACCTGACAGAGTGGCACTTACCTCTTCTAAAGTTGGCAGCAAACATAACTCTCTCTTAATACTTTTATTCAAGTCTACTGGATCCAAACAGATTCTTAATGTACCGTTTGGTTTCTCTACAATAACTAAATTACTTGACCATTCGACAGGTCCCTTAGTCTTAGCAATAATGCCTTTTGACTCCAAATCATTTAACGTAGTTTTTAATTTATCCTTTAATGCTAATGGAATGCGCCTTGGTGGTCTCACTACTGGACAACAATCTTGTTTCAGGGAAATTTTACATTTCTCTTGAAAAGTCCCAATTCCTGAAAACAAATCTTCATTCTTTTTAATGAATTCATCTTTACCTTCTATAACCTTAACTGTTACAACTTTCTTTAATAATCCTAACTCTATACAAGATTTCAAGCCTAATAACGGTACTCTTTCATTTCTAACAATAATAAATTCCTGAATTCTAACGCAACCTTTAGCTTTACATCTTAATCTAACTTTACCACTCGGCTTAAATTTTTGGCCACCATAAGCTTCCAATATAATGTTTGTTTTCTCTAATTTTGTGTTCATGCTGTTCAAGCTATTAAATATTTTTTCTGGCAAAATGTTTACTTGTGCACCTGTATCCAGTTTAAATTTAATAATCTTATTCTCTAATTTAACATTTTCAAACCATTCCGATACACTTATCTGTAGTACTTCGCTCTTAACAATATTTACTGACTCGATTGCCAGCATCTCATCCTCCTCCACATCTTCAACCTCTTGAATTCCTTTTACTCTGCATGCTACCTCAAAGTGATTTAACTTTCCACACCGGTTACATTTTTTTCCGAATGCTGGACATTCCCTTGGGCGATGCCTTCTGTTGCATCTTCTGCACTGAAATTCTGTTACGTCTTGCGTTTCTTCCTTCCTTCCTTGATCCTTGGGACTGATCGGCTTTTTCTGCTTCTACTTCGACGGCGATCTTTTCTCAATTTTCTCAATTGCCTTCTCTTCATGCATTGTCTTGAGCCTTTCTTTTATTGCCTCCTTGGCTCTACAAATTTCCACTGCCTTCTCCAACTTTAGGTCTGTCATGCCTAACAGCTTCTCCTGTACTGTTACATCCGCAATACCCAATACTATTCTGTCACGGATCATATCTTGCTCATCCATGAATTCACAATTTTGCGCAATCTTTTTCAGCTTCTTCACAAAGTTATCTACTGGCTCATTAGGTTCTTGTATCCTTTTATAGAATAGAAATCTCTCGTAAATTATATTTTTCTTGGGAAGAAAGTATTCATCAAACTTCTTGACCACTACATCATATTTCTTCTGATCAGCTTCACTGAGATTAAAGTTATTAAATATGTCAATACCCTCATCACCAATTGTATTCAGAAGTATTGCCACTTTAACTTCACCACTCTTTTCTTGAAAACCGTTTGCTGTCATGTATATATTGATTCGTTGAATCTTTCATAGTTTGAATCTTTTATAGTTTTCTGCAATGTTTCCACTGAAATCCAGTGGTGCGGGAATTTTCGCGTCCATTTTAATTGCGTTTAGTAAGCTTAAATGTCAATTTTTTAGTCTTTTGTGTCGTTGTACTATTTTCTAACCTTTAATCGAGTCACCACTTTAGCTCTAATAGCTATTGCCTGAGTTTTATTCTTCGATTAACAACTGCGCCATGTTGTATATTTAGGCATTTAAAATAATTGATAACAACAGTGGTGATTAACTGTATATATTTTAAGATACAATGTCTACTTAAGATTATGCGCATCACATGCTTGTAAGCTTCTATCTGATCAACCGCCAGTGCTTCACTCACGCCATCTAGGACTATCTTACAACATACAGGATTAATCATGTAATCTATTTTACGTCTATTATATGTGTAAATTTACGGAATTTTTTTACAGTGTAAGTGTACAGTACTTGTGTTGTGTCCAATCATGTGCAAAGTAACGATAACTGCAAAATTCGTTACCGTTACCAAAAAAATGTAACTTCGTTACCGTTACAATTACCAAAGAAAAAAGGTAACGCAGTTACCAGTAAAGTTACCAAAAAAGTAACTTGTAACTATAACTTCGTTACAAGTAACGAGTTACTTCTATTCCCTACAAGAAAGATACCCAGAATCGCCCGACCCACGGTAATAAAACTTATGACAGAATTACAAATCATGTCGAGAAAGTTCGATTTAAACACGTTCGGTTTCAATAAATAATACCTAAAAGCAGATCAGGAATTCTGAGTGAATAGAAGGTCACATTTCCAAACGCGTAACAACGTGTTGAAGGGTGTTTTCTCGTTAACAATAGGAAGCAGTAACATGGAAATAGCATGACAAAAGTAGATTTTAATTTTTTGTTGACGATCATAAAATTTGGAACAAATATTGTCTAGACGAGAGAACGCACGTTCAAGTAGGAATAGGAGAAAAGAAAAAAAAGGGAAATGCGAGCTTTCAAATTGTCGTGGCTGGGTCGTTCGGAAAGGACGATGAGAGAGAGAGAGAGAGAGAGAGAGAGAGAGAGAGAGAGAGAGAGAGAGAGAGAGAGAGAGAGAGAGCGAGAGCGAAATACCCTCTCTCTTCAGAGAGAAAAGCTAAAGCTAAACTCGCCAATGGGAGACCGTAGATCTGAAAATCTAGAGAAGGTGATGACATATCGATATCACCAATAAGTTCTCAAGGGATTGAAACTTGCAGTGCGGACGGAGCAAATTTTGGAAATATTTCGCGAGTAGGAATATGAAACACAAATTTCCTACCAAAAGCAGAAAAATCCCTCCAACCCAAATCCCCGATTTTTCCACTTAACACGTCTCAACAGAGGACCACCCTCTAAAACTCTCTATATAAACCGTAACACTACGAGATTCGCTCTCATTATTTTCTCATTATTTTTCTGTTCTTATTCCGTGTCCGGTTCTATTCCTTACTCAGTCAGTCATTTTCGCAGTCTATCACCCTTGTAGAAAAGTACTACTGAGCACTAGGAGTATTTTGAGACACTACTGTACTACAGCACTACTATACTACTATACTAATAGTAGCGCAGAAGTGTTCAGTAATGCTGAGTAGTGCTAAGATCTTCTATATATCCGCGTTTTGGCAAGATACAAAATGCAGGAAATGAGTATGCATCACAGAAATTAATTATTAATAATTCTATTTAAAAAAAAGCACTTTTAGAAACTCTACGAGCACACTCTGATCAAGCTGAGAGTAAGTGACGGATTTAATTTACATATGCCTATTTATAGGATCCGCGTTATTTTCTCCTTACGGAAAACGAGTCCATCTTGCGGCGATACTGAGTATTATGCCGCTTGCAAAGCTATATGTACGCTATAGACACCGCCAAACAAGCAGTGTAATACGCAGTATTACTCTGTAAGAATGTACTCGCAGAGTGTGCTCGTAGAGTCTCTGAAAGTGTTTTTTTAAAAATAAAGTTATTAATAGTTAGTTTCTGTGATGCATACTCATTTCCTGCATTTTGTATCTTGCCGAAACGCGGATATATAGAAGATCTTAGCACTACTCAGCATTACTGAACACTTCTGCACTACTACAGTAGTGTAGTAGTACAGTAGTGTCTCAAGATACTCCTAGTGCTCAGAAGTACTCAGTAGTACTTTTCTACAAGGGCAGTTAATTACCTTCATAGTCTATAGTCAGTCAGTCAGTCAGTCAGTCATATATATGGTTTCATCATGTATAAAAAGTTTCATACGTTATATAGTTTCCGCTTTATAAAAATTTTAGAGTTTGTGCGCGACCTTTTAGTCGAGTGATGAACCTCACCATCTCTTTGGGATCCGACATCTGATGCGAACATTCCTACAGCAGAAAATTGTAAGTCTCATGGATTATCATTTATTTGTCTAGAAATTAAAGTAATTCGCTAAAGAGTAAATAATTCACCAGTTCAAATAATGTTTTTTTAAATTAAAATCAACGGAATCGACGGAACAGGCAAATTTTCTAGACGAATATCGCTAAATGTCACGATACTGAATGAGTATTAAAAAGGTTCCGTAAAATCTCTATTAACGTCTACTGGCGTATTCTTAAATTGAGCTCAATTTAATTGACGAGGAGTAATTTTAATTGCAAATTCGATAAAACATTATTAAAAAGTGTGTGTCTTTGAAATACACGTTTTAAATAATAAACAAATTATCGAAATTAAATGATCGAGTATTATTATCGCGATATCAACAACAGCTGATCAACCGTTTTACTCTCAACGAAGCGCTCTATTGGTCGACGTGTTATCGCCCGAGATTCTGAGGCTCAGAATTCTCAATAATAGAATAATGAAAAGCATTCACGTCGGTCAGTCAGTCAGTCACTCGATATCTCGGAATTAATTTGGCATTAAGTATTTATATTAAGATATAATTAGGCTAAAAAAATACAATAATTGATTTCTTAAATTAGAGATACGTAGATAAGAAATACGTAGTTACTTCTATAAATAAATTGTTTTATGTATTGCAAATCCTCTTTTATTCTCTATAACGTTAATAATTTCCTATAACAATAAGAATTGTAGAGATTCCAAAATAACTTAGATATTGAATTGTCTCGACCATTCCAAAACAGTGAGATATATTTCTAAAATATTTTAATTTAACTGAATTCTTAGATTTTAATTGGTGTTATTTTGTTCATGAAACATATACTTAGCGTTTTACGAGATAATGTTTATCTGATTTAACAATGTTTTTTTGATAAGATGTTAATTATATCTTTTATTAAAGAAATATAACTACTTGACAAATAATAATATAATCTTCTTACGGACTCTCCCAAATTCAACAACAAAAAATTCCAAAACCAGGGCGAATGAGAGTTAGCGTGGTAATTAATACGCAATCTTAATTCTTCAATCCAAAAAATTGATTCTTTATTCCAAAAAATAGTACGTTTCAGTTCACTTTGGAACCATCTTCAGCCAAACAAATTTAAAATATCAATCCCTTCATGTCAAGGAAAAATCACCATCAGATTAGTAGATTTAATGTTCTAATCCCAAGACATAGAAGGAATTCGTCTCAACATTGGATCAACTAATTAACATTAATATTAGCGTAGCTCGAACGGAACGGAACGCTCAACATGCGTTTTTTAACTTGATAACTTTTAGTGAATATTAATGTTAATTAGTTGATCCAATGTTGAAACGAATTCCTTCTATGTCTTGAGATTAGAACATCAAATCTGCTAATCTGATGGTGATTTTTCCTTGACATGAAGGAATTGATATTTTAAATTTGTTTGGCCGAAGATGGTTCCAAAGTGAACTGAAACGTACTATTTTTTGGAATAAAGAATCAATTTTTTGGATTGAAGAATTAAGATTGCATATTAATTACCACGCTGACTCTCATTCGCCTTGGTTTTAGAGTTTTTTTTGTTATAACTACTTAAAATCTAAAAATTAAAAAATAAAAATCTAAAAATTAAAAATTAAAAATAAAGTTGTTATTGTGTTATGGTTAATTAATTATATGTCGTGATCAAAATCAACTTCATTAATTTTTGTATTTGTACTATTTCTTTTGTATCATAAATATTGTCAATTATTCGAGCTACCAAAATAAATAAAAACATTAAATTTTTGCAATAATTGTAGAGCATATTTCAATTTGTCTAAAAATTTAATATATTTTCTAAGTTTTAATGCTTCTATCATTGGCATATGCACGTTTAATGTTTTACAAACAAAATCTATCTTATCAACACTTGACAAGAAAATGTACATTTATAGGCAGCTGTTTAGTTCTCTTTGCATCGCTGCTCTTGTAAGGTATTATATAACGCACTGACAATACAATGTCTGTAAGTATATAGCATACACGATATTTATTGCACAAATATTGACAAATAATCAAATAAATATTTAAACAAACATAATCTTTGTTTTCTTTGCACATTATGTATAATTATAAAAAGTAAAAAAACACGTATAGTTTATTGAAAAATACGATCAACCGTGTAACTATTGAGCTATATATCAAACTATAAAAGATCGATCGTGCTGTCATCGTCATGTAAAATTTTGAATTAAATTTTGAATAAAGCTAAAGAATCATGCTATGTTCCGAACAATATCCAATCACATCGCTTTAAAAGTATTAATCACTATCTCTATTAAAAACAGTATCATTTACAAAAAATATAAAAGATATTTTTAATATATATATATATTAATTATAATGTATTTTATGTATGTGTTTTTGTCTCTTGCTGTTTTTCTGTAAAATTGACAGTATTTGAGTAAAAAATTATTGAAAACTAATATTCAGCGATTTTTAGTAATTAATAACTCATTAACTATTGCGAAAATTGCAAAATGGTAGAGGACTTTTCGACTCAATTTAATCCACTTTATCTACACACAAACGCTTTGTTCAAACTTACCAGACAC